GAGGATGGCAGCTTTTGCTCTAAGAGCCAAGTGGCTTTCCGAGATGCTTGCTATGAATTTGTGCCTCTCGGCCGCACCTTCTATAATGCCCAGAGCTGGTGTGAGGAGCAGGTAGGCCATTTGGTTTTTATTCATGGTGAAGCCACCCAGCTATTTCTGCAGAAGCACCTCACCCAGGACAGGGAACGGTGGATTGGACTCACATGGAACTTGGCTTGGAATGATACTACAGAAGGTAGGTGCCACGATAATTTTGTTTTATGGGGAGCTTATGGCTGTGATTCTCACCATAGTTTCTTACCCAGAACTCCATGGAACAAATTAGTACGTCCCAATTCTCATGGTAAGGAGACCCTCCTTTTTGGTTGTTTTGTGGATCAAATAAAAGAACTTTTGTGCAGTACCTAGCACAGAATCCAGCTTGTAGCTGACATGCTAGAAATGTCCCTTTCTTTGCTTGTGCCTAAGACTAGCTATGGCTTCTTCAGTTCTTGCTAGAATAGTGCCTGGCACTGTCCTGAGTGCTTCACGTCCACTTTCACAGTGAATCCTTATCATCACCGATGAGACAGTTATGATTGTTGCCCCTATTTTACAGATGGGAAAACAGAGTCTCAGGAAATAATGACTAAGCTATTTTCAAAGCACTTCCACATGTCCTTCCCCGACTTGTTATGAGGCTGAAGTGGGTTAAGTGCTTAGCACAGCTCAATTCACATTAGACAGTCTCATGGTAACAGTTGTCTTGGAAACCCTACCTTATCCTTCACTCGGTGAGGACCCCTTCCTCCAACCCCCGCACGTTCAGGTGAGTCCTCCTCTTTGCACCTGTAGGATCTTGTCCACACATTTAGGAGAGCACTTTTGGCACGACTTCAGTTTTTAGCTGTCTTCCCCCCGGACTATGAGTTCTTCAAGGGAAGGAACCATTATTCTGGCCGGTTTTGTTTTCCCAGTGTCCATACACAACAAAAAATAAATGTCCGTATTTAAGCCTTACCCCTGCCCCATGAGGCAAGCACTGCTACTCTTATTTTATGAATGAGGAAAATAAGTCCAGAGGGATGAAATGAGTTGTTCAAGATGACAGCGTCCTGCTACCTCCCATTGCCCAGTAGAAGCTGCTGGGTTTTATAAATGAGTAGCTTGGTCTGGGCTGAACACCTGTAGAAATGTACCAGCGTGGATGGAAATACTTTAATAAAGGAGCAGCCGGAGAAGCTCATTTTAGGAAACTCATAGCCAAGAGATTTGAACTCTAAAATGCATCTTCAGGCAACATCTATTGAATGCTTTCTTGCTTTGTAGATGCAGAAATTGTGGATTTCTGTATATCGGACACCCATTCTCACGCAGTTAAAGGAGCGTGTGTCTATTTAAAATCTCCAAGGGATACTGCATGGCTGCTACAGAAAATGCGGTAGATCTGAATAGGCTGATACGTCCCAACCTCCATCGCTCAGTGTTATTTAAGAAGCAAGGGACTGTCCTGGCTGTGTGCGATATGATGGCATTTATGTAACTAGATTTCAGGCATTCATAAATGTTGATGTATGGATACAATTCATCCTGGAACAATTTTCAAGAAACATAACAATAATGGGAGTAGTCCATAGGTTGAAAGAGGGAAGATGTTTTCACTTTATACCCTTTTGTGTTCTTTGAATTTTTTTAACCATATGTATGGATTTCTTTTCCTTAAAAAAATGGTAAATGTATTTTTGAGTCTTCACAGTAAATAGTTTACAGCCAGTGTTTTCTAGACCTCTGGTGTGCCTCTGTATTACACACACACACACACACACACACACACACACACACACTTCTTCAACAATCATGTTGGTGTATTCAAGGCTCTGAAGAGTACCAAAATCATGAAAATTGCTTCCACTTTAACTCAGTGCTGCCCAAGTATATTTGACAAGGGCCCCTGCTTCTCTCTGGAGTATGTCTTGCCACCCCGAGGCACACTTCTGTGCTCTTTTTTATTTTTTAAATTAAAAAAATTTTTTTAAACCTTAAAAAAATTTTTTTAAATTTATTATTATTTTTTTGGCTGCGTTGGGTCTTCGCTGCTGCGCATGGGCTTTCTCTAGTTGCGGTGAGCGGGGGCTACTCTTTGTTGCAGTGTGTGGGCTTCTCATTGCGGTGGCTTCTCTTGTTATGGAGCACGGGCTCTAGGCGCGCTGGCTTCAGTAGTTGCAGCATGTGGGCTCAGTAGTTGAGGCACGTGGGTCCTAGAGCTCGCGGGCTTCAGCAGTTGTGGCTCATGGGCTTCAGTAGTAGAGGCTTGTGGGCTCTAGAGTGCAGGCTCAGTAGTTGTGGTGCACAGGCTTAGTTGCTCCGCGGCATGTGGGATCTTCCCGGACCAGGGATCGAACCTGTGTCCCCTGCATTGGCAGGCGGATTCTTAACCACTGTGCCACTAGGGAAGTCCTGTGCTCTATTTCAAATTGTGCTTACACATTACTGGAAGCATCATCTATTTCATCAAACCTCTTTGTATGGGCTCTTGGGCTCGGCACCCCGGTTTGTAGGCTGAGACCTTCTCTTAGAAGATAGTGGCTAGGTGATGCACCTTCACTGGCATGGGACAGAGAGGCCTTCAGCCTGTCAGCACTGCCTGAGCACCCACTGCACACAAGGAGTGGAGCTGGGGCAAGCTCTCTGCACACCAGGATCAGGAGGACCCTTCCAAGTCCTAGTGGTCATATTCCCAATCCCAGGGCCCAGGATCTGGCTGGACACCTCAAATGTGAGCTACAGCCACTGGCGCCGAGGGCAGGATGCTTCTGTAACCAACCCCTGGGGCTACAATGGGAGAGACCCTTCCTTTGGGTGGTTGCCATCGGACAACTGCACACAGGAGTTCGCCTTCATCTGCGAGTTTGGTGAGCTGGCCTGTGCTGTGGGGTCTCCCTCCTTCTTTCTTTCTCTGACTCTCTCTCTCTGTATCTCCTTCTGTCTTGTTCTCTCTTTTTCTGTATCTCTCTGTCTCTCTGTCTCTATCTCTCTAAATGCCCACAATCTCCGGCTGTGTGATGCTCTGTGTCTCACTTCATCTCTCCAGCTCATGTCCCGCTCTCTCCCTGTCCACTTACCTGCCTACCTGCCCTCTAGTCTCACTTGTCTCTCTGTCTTCCCCTCTCATAGCCCACATGAGAGGGAAGTGCTCAGCCCTATCTCTGCTCCCTTTCCAGTCTTCCCATGAAGAGACATGTGGTCCCAGGAGGCTGTTCTCACTCACCCTTGACTCCCGCTCCCTGGTCAGCCTGGCTTTGAGCCCCTCACCCCCGCATCTCACTCCCAACTCCCAAATCCCCCCACGCTCTGCTCTTGTGCCCTTTCCAGCTGCTGCCTGTGGTAGGCCCCTTTTGTGGGCCCTGGGAACCCCTTCCTGGGGACTTTGTGTGTGAGTCCCCGCAGGAGTGGCCCGAGACCCACACTGGGTCCTGCCTGCCATGGGGGGCCTGGTCTTGGAGCTGAGCTGCCTTGTGGTCCCCTGACCCTCAAGCCAGCCTTGACAAAAGGTTCTGGGCTTCCAGGCCCAGTCCCCTCCCTGGTTCTAAGCCCCTCATTGGAGACTCTGGCACCCAGGCCCCAGTCTGGGTTCAGACACTTATGGGGACCCCTGCTCTATTTCCCCCACACTCAGCTTTATAGATGCCATGCAAGCTTAACTTTCCTGCCTGGCCGATTCGGAAAAGTCGAAAGCTTTGTGGGCCTGTGGGTTGTGTAGCTTCCTCACTTCTTACCAAAGCTCCCCCCCAAACCCCATCCCCTTCCCCACTCCCACTGCAAGCCTGTCTCAGCACCGTCAGCCCCCAGGGTCTTGCAGTCCCTGGCACGAGGTCACACTAGGAAGAGCTAACATACATCCAGCAGGAGTTCCCGGCACTGAGCTGTACGTGCCTCTGTGCACTTATTCATCACACAGTAGAAATACCTCCATCATTCTGTCGCAGGCCCATGATAAAGCTCAGAAAAGTGATGCTCAGAAAGGGTAAGTTCCACACAGCTGGGAGGTGACAGAGATGAGACGTGAAGATCAGAGAGAGAGACTGGGAGACACTGTGCTGCTGGCTTTGAAGATGAAGGAAGGGGCAGCCTCTAGAAGCTGGAAAAGGCAAGGGAATAGCTTCTCCCCTAGAGGCTCCAGAAGGAACCAGCCCTGCCCACACCTTGATATTAGCCCAGTAAAGCCCATTTTGAACTTCTGACTGTAACTGTAAGAAGATAAATTTGTGCCGTTTAAGCCACTAAGTTTGTGGTCATTTGTTACAGCAGCCATTAGGAAACGAACACAGATTTTGATCTCAACCCCTGCCCTGTGGCGGTCCCACCAGGCAGACGGGCCTGAGTCTGAAGCCAGTGTTTCCTACTTTCTGCTGTGCACATCTGAGCCAGGTCATTCTTTATCAACAAATGTTTACTGAGCATAGACCACATGCCAGGATCTGGGCTGGAGTGGGGTTTCAGCACAGTGACCCCACAGAGCCCGATGTTACCACAGGGGAGGATAATAGTGCAGCTCATAGGACTGGTATGAAGACTCAATGAAATCACTCATGCATTCAACAAATGCTTGTTTAGCATCTATGATGTGCCAGGCATTGTTTTCAGATAAGTCTCAAGGAAGGCACTCGAAACAGGTGGAATGATACTTGCCACTTTTGCAGCCCTGACCCTACTTGTACAGACTCATTTGATCCTCCTAACGACTCTATGGGGTGTGATATTGACTCCCCCCATAAAGAGGAGGCACGGAGAAGCTGAATAACTTGCAGAAGACCACACAGCCCGAGTGTGGCTGGGCTGGCCCTGACCCTGGGCAGTCTGGTCCCAGAGCCATGCTCATGCCCTCCACATCATCCCCTTGCTGAGTCAGCTCCCACTGTGTCCTTGCATCTCACAGTCCTGACCCCTGAGACCCCTCTGCTTCCCATTACCTGGGCACTTGCCCATCTGTGACCACGAGCCCTCCTTAGGTGTCACCTTACCTTTGCCACAGGTGTCGGCCAGAGTCTGGCCTGCGAGAACCTCAATGCCACCATGCACTATGGCTCAGGGGAGGTGATCCAGATCCAGGATGCTTTCTATGGGCGCCAGGCTCCCCATTATTGCATCCAGGATGCCGGGGACCCCTCAGACCTGGAGGAGGAATGCAACTGGGTCAGCGTCAAGGACGAAGTGGCAGGTAGGGCCCAAGGGCTCTGTAGCTCTGGCTGCAAATGCAGGGCACTTCCTGGTGTCCTGTGCCCAGCAAAGGGTCTGGAAGGATTGAACAACCTTCATATCTGACCTTGGGCTTCCATCATATAGGAAAATTGGCCAGTCTGCCCACAGTACCAAGCAGGGGAGTAAGGGGGCCGTTGCTCACCCTTCACCTGACATCAAACCCACCTGGCGGGTCAGGTGGACATTTTCCTCCCCACCCCAACTGGGTGCAAAAACATTGCTTTCTTTTTTTAATTTAAATTTTTAAAATTTCGAAATACTTCAAACGCACGTACAAGAATGAAAAAAATTTCAGTGAAATCCTCTGGACCCACTACCCAACTTTGTCAAATCTTAGCATTATGCCATATCTGCTTAAGATTCCCTCGTTACAGAAATGAATAAAACATTAGATTCGTATCATCGGTCTTGATACATGTTGTACTAGTTTGTTTCACTTATTATGTAACTATATCATAGTTTGTCTTTTCCTCTATTGAGAGATGTGCAGGATTGTTGCTTAATCCTTGCTATTGCGAATAGTCCTGAAACAAACAAACGTTCCAGGTGGTATCTCTCCTGTTCTGGATGGTATCTCTCCTTCACGTGGGAGAGTTTCTCTAGGGTCTTATTTTTCTAAATCAGATTAAATCTGCCTCTGAGCCAGGTTTGTCTGGTGACAAGGATTTTCCCTTGGAAAGAAACTTGCACCTCTCCCCGCCACATCTGACCCACATCACCCCTCCTCCCCTTAGAGCAGGCATGGGGGAAAGAAATGCCGAAATCAGCCAGTTGGTTCTCTTCGTCTCGCCTCGTTGCCCCAGCATTCCTGAGTCTGTGGCCCACCAAGGAGGAAAGGCCCGGAGGACGGGCCAACGGGTGTGCCTCCTTCACAGATGGAGCTCAGTGGGCTATTTCCTTAAAGGCCCAGATGCAAGCTTCCAAACCTTGTAGCCACGCCCAGAGGGCACATTGGATGGGAGCCCTGCATCCTTTTGGGGAGGGTTGGAGGAGATCTGGGCAGAGCCCCAGGGGGGCTGTTTGTACCTAAGTGTCACCATCACTCATTCATTCAGTCAGTTTGCTGACAGACGTTTATTGAGCACCAAAATTGTGCCATGCACTATCTTGGGCTCTGTGGATGCAGGGATGAATCAAACACAGTCTGTTCTTCGAAGGGTTCACAGTCTAATGGGGAGACAGAAACAAATACAGGCAATTACCTAGCACTGTGCTCAATGTCACACAGAAGGGAGAAAAGGTGCTGTTTAGTTACTCATGCAAGACTCATTTTGTACCTGCTATGTATCAGGTACTGTTCTGTGTGCTGGAGATAGAGCAGTGAACAAAAACAAAGCAAAACAAAACATTCCCTCTCTCTTGGAGATTGTAGTCTAGTGCTGTGGATGCACCTAGTAGGGTACAGATCTCACACTGAGGGGTATAGCAAACTGGGTCCCAGCAGGAAAACAGAAATCATGCTAGGTCTTCCAACAGAGGGAATTTAATGCAGGGAATTGGTTACCCAATTACTCAGTCACGGAAGTGCTGAGAAGCCGAATAGGGGATGATGATCCAACCCTGAGATTAGAGGAGCAGAAAGCCGCTACCACCCCAAAGGTCTGGAGGGACAGCCATGGGGGATGTCACACCAAAACCAGAAGTCAGGGCCACCCAGCAGGTGCTAGAACCATGATCTGCCCTGTGGGAGCAATGACCATGGAGGGAGGGATGGGCCCCAGGGAGCTAGAGCTTCAGAGATGTGGTGAGAGAGAAGGCAAAAAGCACCCTGCCCTGTACCTCTTCCCGTCTGGCGCAGGCAGACTTTGAACCCCCAAATTCCCACCCTAGTCCCTGGAACTGCGGGTATGATGAGATGCCATGCCCATGAATATGTTAACTTACGTGGCAAAAGGGTCTTTGTACGTGTAATTATGGTTGCTAATCTTAAAATAGGGAGATTATCCTGGATTATCGAAGTGGGTACAATCTAATCACATGAGCCCCTCAAAGCAGAGAATTCTCTCTGGCTAGAAGCATAAGACAGGGGTGGCAGATGGAGAAGTCAGTGAGATTCAAGTATGAGACAGCTCTGACTCCTCACTGCCAGCTCTGAGAGACAGGGGATCACATGGGAGGACCGGAGAGAGGCCTCTAAGAGCTTAGGGTGGTCCCAGCTGATAGCCAGCAAGGAAATGGGACCTCAGTCCTACAGTCCCAAGGAACTGAATTCAGCCAACAAGAAGAATGAGACTGGAAGTAGATTCCTCCCCAGAGCCTCTGTGACACCTTGATTTCAGCCCTGTGATACCCTGAGCAGAGCCCAGCTGAGCCCACCCAGACCTCTGACCTCCAGAAAGGTGAGGTAATAAATGTGCTGTTTTATGCCACTACGTTTTTGTAATTTGTTACAGCAGCCATTGGAAGTTAATATGTCGTCTTCAGTCTTCAATCAGCGCCTGCCAGTGCACAGGGCAGTTTGGGAAATGTAGTTCCCTGCAATTTGGAACCAGGTAGGGTGAGGGTGGATCTGTGCACCAACGGTCAAAGGGCTGGCCACCTTCCCGGAGGAGGTGAGATCTAAGCTGAGACCTGAAGATATGATAGGAGTCACGCAGGAAAAGGACAGCTGGGTGAACAGGGATGGGTGTTCTGGGGAGAGGGAGGAACCCATGCAAGTCCGAGGAAGAGCGTGGTAGGTGCAGGGAACTGCAAAGCACTCAGCATGGGGGGAGGTGGGGCACTAGTGCCTGAGGAACCGAGACCCTAGCCCCAGGATGTTGGGGAAGCACTGGAGGGTTTTGAGCAGGGGAGGATCACGGCTAGGTGTATTTTAAAGCTGCCCGCAGGCTGCTGTGAGTCCAAACAAGGGAGGCTGATGCCAGAAACCCAGGTGAGAGAGGCTGGAGGCTGGAGGGCAATGCAGATGGAAAGAAATGGACAGATTCCAGAAACAGAAGGACGTACTGACAGGACTTGTCAATGATGGGAGTCCAGGATGACCCTGGCATTGAGAGAAGAGGCTGGGGGAGGAGCAGCTGGTGGCAAAGGTGGAGGAGGGAGATTGTCTTCATGTCCTAGGGCAGCCTTACCAAGTACCACAAACTGGGTGGCTTAAAACAACAGAAGCACGTTCTCTTGCAGTCTGGAGGCTGAGTCCAGAATCAAGGTGTCAGCTGGACTTCTCTACCTCCAAAACCTGCAAGGGAGAGCCCTTCCTTCCCTCTTCTAGCATCCGGTATTTGTCGGCAATGCTTGCCCACAAACCCTTGTAGGTGCATCTCTCTAATCTCTGCTTCCAACTTCACATGCCCTGTCTCCGTGTCCAAAGGACACCAGTCATACTGGATTAAGGGCTCACCCTAATGACCTCATCTTAACTTGATTATGTTTGCAAAGACCCTGTTTCCAAATAAGCTCATATTCACAGGTACCAAAGGTTAGGACTTCAAGATACCTTTTAGAGGGGACACACTTCAACCCAAATCAGAGATCAAGACCTCATTTCAGGATATGAGAAGCCTGGAGTGCCCTGTGATGTCCAAGTGGAGATGCTGTGTAGACAAGTGGACATACAGGATAGGAACTCAAGAGAGAGCTAAACAAGAGACATAGATCAAGGAGTCATCGGCCCATGGCTAAAAACCAGGTGAGGGGAGCACAAAACCATAACAGCTGGGGAGGAACCAGGGCCAGGAGAGCATCTGAGGAGGGGGTGGGGCTTGCCTGGCTAAGCAACCAGACAGGAAAAGAGCATTTAAATATTCCAAAGCCTGGAGCAAGCATGGGTTTCTAAGATGCGAAAGAGAACAAGGAAAGTGATGCAGTGCAGGGCAGAGCCATAGGATGCTCTCAAGCCAAGAAGGGAACCAGGGCTACAGCATCTGCCTGTCCCTTCTCCAGGCCTCTCTGTAGGCATCTATTATGTCTACATGGGCAGAGGGAATGGGTGTTGGGATGACCCTGAGGCTTCTGGCCTTGGGTCTCCACACTCCTCCCTCCTGTGGGCACCTGGTGCCCGTGGCAGACACAGGGTTCCTAATCTTGTGCCCTCTTTGCCAGTTCTCAGGATGTAGGTTTCTACCTTAGGCCATCTGAGTAGATGCCACTGGACCAGTGGTTCTCAAAGTGGGGTCCCTGGGCCAGCAGCATCGACATCGCCTGGAAGCTTGTTAGAAAAGCAAATTCTCAAGCTGCCCTCCAAATCTACTGAATCAGAATCAGGGTCTGGAAATTTTTGTCTTCACAAGCCCTCCAGGGGATTCTGGTATTCTGAAGTTTGGGAACCATTGTGCTGGACCCTGAGATATTTGAGGGCAGGAATCCTACTTGTTTCTCCCCCAGCACCGGGCTCAGTGCCCGGTCTTCAGGAGATACCAACAGGTACTTGTTGGGGGGATGGTGGGTGAATGAACGAATTCAAGGTCACTCATCTCTGTCTGACCCTATCCTTTAATGTCCTTCACACGGTTTCTGCTTCCGCTGGGATGTGGGTGCCTCCCAGGCCAGTGCCAGGGTGCTGCAGGCCTGCCAGGGGGCAGCAGATGGGGCCTACTTTGGAGACCTGTGCCCCACCTGGGGCAGTTACCTGTGGGTACAGTACCACTGCCGGGAAGGTGAGTCCCCAACTTGCCTGGGTGTGGGAATTCCCTTCTTATCTCTAGCCCTCCTTGGAGCAGAGGGTGCAGCTATCCATGGGGGTGGATCTGCTCAGTACTGAGAGACCTCCTCACCCAAAACTGCTGCCCTGTGGCTTGCCCTCCCCACCTGGCTTAGCTGCAGGGTAAAGCATTTGAGGTTCAGTTGCAAAACAAGCCAGAAGTTGAAAAACAACTGTTTTAACCCCAGGACACTTCAAATTAAATTTCATGGGGTGACCCAATAAACACAACAGACAAAACCAAGATTACTTGATTGGAAGGATTCCCACATGC